AAAAGCCCTCTGAGACCATCCAGTTCAACCATTCCCTCACCACTAAATCATGTCCTCAAGAGCCACATCCACATGTCCTTTAATTCCTTCTAGGGATGGGGCCTCCACCACCTCTTCCCTGGGCAGCTGTGCCAGGGCTGGGCAATACTTTGCATGAAGAAATTTTTCCTAATATCCAGTCTAAAGGTTTAGGTTGGATCTCAGGGCAAGGTTCTTCCCCCCCAGGCTGGTTGGGCACTGAACAGGCTCCCCAGGGCAGTGGGCACAGCCCCAAGGCTGCCAGAGCTGCAGGAGGCTTTGGCTGATCCTCTGGGGCACAGGGGGTGACTCTTGGGGCTGGGCCTGTGCAGGGCTGAGGGTTGGACTGGATGGTCCTTGGGGGTCCTTCCAGCTCAGCTTATTCTGGGATTCTGGGACTTTAAACTTCCCCTGGTACAAGTGGAGTCATTTTCTCTCCTCATTTCACTAGCTGTGCTGCTTCTGCTTGGCCAAGGACCCCTTTCCTTGCAGGGTGTGGGGGTAGCTCTGAGTTCCATGGCCATGATCAGCCAGGGCTGAGCCTGCAGGTCTGTGCTGCCTGCTGGGCCAGAACCTCTCACCAAGGAGTCACCAAATGACCCTCCTGCCTGGTCTTGGTGACCCCTCCATCTGAAGCCTCAAATGCAGTAAATCACAAGAGAAACAGGGAGAGGCCCAAAGACATAAACTTGTTAGGAGAAGGCAGGACTGACCAAAACCAAGGAGCAGGGGTGATGTGCAAGGCAGCCAGTGGGTTTGGTTCTGGGGGTGATGAGAAGATTCCTTTCCTAGCTACATATATATATATATATATATATATATATAAACATTTCCCCCCCCCCTCCCCAGATCTTGACACCCAATCCCTCACTTGAGATGCAGTGAGGGATGGAGAAATTGGAGATGGCAGCCAGGGCAGAAACCTTTGGATTAATATAAAAAAAAAAGATAAAGGTTCCTGACCCAAAGAGCTTGTGAGCACTTGCTGAAGGAGCAGAGCTGGCAGCTCTTGCTCTGCAAGTTGGAACAGTGGACAAGTTTCTGGGTGCGAAGCAAACTCGATCCAAGGCAGCCAGGAAAGAGCCTCCTGCCAATGCTGTGCATCACCTGCACATCTGGGCCAGTCCCACCCACTGATCACTCCTGTCTCCTGGAGCCTCCTGCAGCTCCAGCTCAGCCCAGCCTTTCCTCCATGGACAGGAGAGATGCAGAGCTGGGAGCACAACTCCCTCCTGACCCTGAGCAAGGGCCCAGGGAAGAAAGCTGGGAGGTCCTTTGGGCCAAAAAATTCTGTATGAGATCAAAGTATTGAGAGATCCCTCCTTCCCTCCCTCCTTGCAGACCTGCAAGTACCTGAAGGGAGACCAAAAGAAGGATGGAGAGGCACTTTTTACAAGAGCATGGAGAGACAGGACAAGGGGGAAGGGGTTCAGAGGGAAAGAGGGAAAAGTTAGGTGGAATATTAAGAATAAAATTGTTCCCTGGGAGGGTGGGCAGGCCCTGGCACAGGTTGCCCAGAGAAGCTGTGGCTGCTCCTGGATCCCTGGAAGTGTCCAAGCCCAGGTTGGACGGGGCTTGGAGCAACCTGGGCTGGTGGGAGGTGTCCCTGCCCATGGCAGGAGCTGCTCCTCAGCTGGTGTTCACATTTATTCTGCTTTTGGTGGGACAGGTAATGTGCAGATGTGTAGAATGCAGGAATGCAGTTTCTTGTGGATTTGATGGGAATTTAAGGCACGTAATCAAAACCAATGAAAATGTGAGTGATGGGAGAGAGTGAAACCCTCTGATTCCTGCCTGGCACTTTTTTTTCAATACCTTTTGCTTTGGGGGGCATAAAGGGGACCAGGGTTTGTGTCAGTGGGTCAGAGGGAGCTGTAGAGGTCCCTCCTTGAATTTCTAAAGCCTCTGACCAGGTGCTACAAATAATTTTACCAAAACCTGTCCCCTCTTTGCTCATTTCTCCTTAACCCAAGGCTTCCCCTGCAGATGGTTCAGAACCCTTCTCTCTCTCCTGGCTGTCCACTGACATGGCCACAGGCTGTGCCTCTCTCCTGCCACCCTTTGTCCACTCCAGAAGATGCCATATCCACCTGCCTCTTCAGATCTGTCCAAATAAAATCCTGCTCTGCATCTTCCCTAGTGCCCAACCCCTGCCTGGAGATGTCTCCATCACATCCCTGCTCCAGCTCCAGTTGCTGCTCCTCCCTCCCAGTGCATCTGCCTCGGTCACTGCTCACAGGATTGAGTTTGTGAACCATGTTCGAAATTGCCTTCATAGATCCATGGAATGGTCTGGGTTGGAGGGGACCTTAAAGCTCATCCAGTCCCACCCCCTGCCATGGGCAGGGACACCTTCACTGTCCCAGGTTGCTCCAACCTGGCCTTGGACACTTCCAGGGATAGAGCAGCCACAGCTTCTCTGGGCAACCTGTGCCAGGGCCTGCCCACCCTCCCAGGGAAGGATTTCTTCCCAATGTCCAACCTAAATTTCCTCTCTTTCAGTCTCAACCCCTTCCCCCTCGTCCTGTCACCCCAGTTCCTGATGCAGAGTCTCCTCTCCATCTTCCTTGTGGGCCCCTGTAGGCACTGGAACTCGATCAGCACCCTTTGAAGGACTCTGAGTGAGCTGAGCATCCGTCTCTGGACACGAGTTCCAGGTTCCAGCAATTATTCCCAGCTCTGCTTTGTTTGCATTCCTTATTTCAATCCATGTGATTTACTCTCAGAGGCACAGGGAATGCTCTGATGGCCTCCATGAGCAAGCAGACTTCACACCATGATTTGTCTGTCAGGACTCCCCATGACATCATCAGGTGGCCCTGACCTGCCTCCCTGAGAGGCAACTGTGACTTCATCCCTACCTCAAAAAGTGTTTACGCAGAAATAGGAAGAGAGAGGTCTCAAAACATGAGTTTAAAAAGTATTTAATTACTCCAGTTTCAAATTCCTTTTTGCAGGGCAAACTGGTTCATAAATTACAGGAAAAATATCCCCTTGGAAATGGTTGAAACAACTGGAATTTTTATCCATTCAATTTGCCTGAACTACACTTTTGCTTCATTTCAAAGTGGCTCCTTTACCTTTTTTTTTTTTAACTCCCAACAAATCCATAAAGAAAAAACAATTATTTACCAAGCTTTTACATTATTTTTTTTTTTTTAAACCAAGACTTTCTCTCCTTATAAGGAGAGTCAACAGGCTTTGTTCTGAGGTAATTCAACTGTCTCCACGCTCAGGAAAGTTTCCAAGTTTTCCTTTCAGATGTTTTGCTTTGTGTGCCTGACCTTTCCTCCAAGCTCCCGCCCTCTCTCTTTAATCTCTAACCAGCCCTTTGGTAGCGAGGTTGGGTTGGGTTTTTATTTTCTCCTTGAGAGCAATTCTTGCCTCTACAGTGGGGTCAGTGCTTCTACTTTCTTCCTGACAAGGTAAAACTGATTCCTGGTCCTGCAGAGAAAATTTCAAGGTGTTTGGACGTCGCCCAGTTCAGCTTTGGGAAAGATGAAGCTTGTGCTGTGTTTTGTGGGCACTCATTGAACCCCCCTCATCCCTGGGAATGTCCAAGGCCAGCTTGGAGCACCCTGGGCTGATGGAAGGTGTCCCTGCCCATGGCAGAGGTTGGAATGGGATTATCTTTAAGGCCCCTTCCAACCCAAACCATCCTGTGATTCTGTATTTAAAGCTGTTGCAAAAACCCCCTCCATCACTCCATGACTTGTGCTCCAAGCCTGACCTTTCATCATGGGTTTTACTCTGGATTTTGACCCTTCTCCTAAGGGTCATATGGAAAATCAAGCCTGGAATCAGTAGATTTGAATCTCTGTTGGGGTCACCCTATCCAGGAGCGATTCTGTAGCACTTCCACTCGCAGAAGGAGTTGGAGATTCCTCTTCTTCACTTTGCAGGTGACTGAGAGTGGAACAGGCTGCCCAGGGAGGGGGTGGGATCTCCTCCCCTGCTGCTCCAGGGCAGCCCTGCCTGGGCAGGGAGGTGGGAACAGATGATCCACTGGGGTCCCTTCCAACCTGACCCATCTGTGATCCTGTGGGATCAGGAACTGAGAAGCACACGTTGAGCCCGGGAGCAGAAATGCCTGGAAGGTGTTAACACACCTTTGTCAGACTCACTGGGGGAGAGCAGGTGGGGACTGGGACTGGGACTGGGACCTGCTCATGTTGCAGTACTGCCCAAGAGGATGACACAGAGAGTGGACAGAGAGTGGACACAGAGAGTGGACAGCTGACTGTCTTTTCCCCGTGGTGCAGGTGCTGGCAGGGCCCGTGGATATTTGCCTCCCTCACCCCAGCAGGAGGAGTTTGGAGCTCCCTCTGGAGCTGAGGTTTCCCACCTGCAGCATCACACCCATCTCAAACCAGATGTCCCACAGCAGCTCTTCCACCTCCCGGCCCCAGGGGTGTGAGGGGAGGTCTCTGCCCACCTTTAGCTGGGATGGGCACAGCAGGATCCAGCAGCAAAGTGCTCCCAGAAAGAAAGAAGCTCCCTGACTGATTTCTGTTTGTGAAGGAGCCAGCACTGGAATCACAGAGTCACTGAGGTTGGGAAAGATCTCCAAGACCATCAAGTCCAACTTGACTGAACGTGGCCACTAAACCATATCATGAAGTGCCCCCAACCCCCCGCCCTGGGCAGCTGTGCCAATGCTTCAACATTCTTTCAGTGGACAAATTTTTCTTAATATCCAACCTGAACCTCCCCTGGTGCAACTTGAGGCTGTTTCCCCTTGTCCTGTCAGCAGCTGCCTGAGAGAAGAGGTCAAACCCCACCTCGTCACAGCCTCCTTGCTGTGGAGTTCAGCTTTGGGAAGGACAATGGGCTGAAAACTTCAGTGCAAACCCAGTGCTGATGCTGTTATGAGTCTTCAGCACTTATGAGAAAATTACCCTTTTGAGACAGTGGCACAAAGAGTCCACAGAATGTACAGAAATTTGCCTCTTTGGTAGGGACTGATCATGGATCTGATGGAGCCCTAAACTGTGGGCCAAAATCAGAAAAAGCAGTTCATGAAAGAAGGTATGAGGTGCTTTCCTGAGTGTCCTTTGTGGAGGGGCACGAGCTGGACCAGGCTGAGTGGGGAAGGGTGGAGGAGTTGAGCACCATGGTGTTCATCAGTGGACACAGCAAGAGATTGTGCACACAGTGAAGGTGGAAAATAACCTGGATCAATCCTCCCTCAGCTGCAGAAGCTCCTGGATTGAAGTTCCCCTCAGAAAGAGAGCAGGAAAATGGAAAGGGAGCAAGCAAAACAAAGGGAGAGGAGGAGCCCAAGAGATAAGAGGGGGCTTGGGATGTCCCTTAGTGAAGAGCCAGCCTGACTGTTGGAGGGTTCAGTGGCACAGCTGATGAGCTTTGGAGGGGCTCCAACATCATTTGACAAATAGGAGTGGGGAATTAGAGGAAAGAGGACCCAGAGCAGGTGGGTCTTCAGGAGAAGCATTCACCAAGGGGGGAGGTGCTGGGAGAGGTGTCTCCTGAGGCTCCTCTGCACCCGTGGCTGGGATAACTCCCTGCACTGCTCCTGTTCCAACAGCTCTGCTCAGACAGGTGAGTCACGCAGCATTTTTAGCTCCTTACATAACCAGTGCCAACAGGGGAGGTGTTACAGCCCTGATGCCAACACAAATGCCCAGGGACCATCTCTGCTCTCAGCAAAATGAGTAAGCACCCCCTCCAGAACAGGCTGAGAGCATCTCTCACACATCACCAGCACGGGATTTTGCAACAGGGATGAGCTGGAGCTCCACCTCTGTTGGCAGCTGTTTTACAAAACTCAGAGCTGGTGGGGCAAAGTTGAGGAAAAAATACCCAGGAAAATGTCAGTGATGCCAGTGCAAAGCCTGATCCGTGGAGTGAAACATCTTTAGGCACAACCCCTTGGCCCAGTGCTCTGGGGGAGCAGGGACAGCCCCCAGGGAATGGCTGGAGCTGTGTCAGGGCAGGCTCAGGGTGGATCTCAGGGCAAGGTTCTTCCCCCCCAGGCTGGTTGGGCACTGAACAGGCTCCCCAGGGCAGTGGGCACAGCCCCAAGGCTGCCAGAGCTGCAGGAGGCTTTGGCTGATCCTCTGGGGCACAGGGGGTGACTCTTGGGGCTGGGCCTGTGCAGGGCTGAGG